AGCGCTGCATGACGGAATAAATGTCAGTTAAAGTACCGCAGCGCTGAATACTGAAAAATGGCCTGGATGGGAAGGGGGTTTAACACCGCGGATGTCAACTGGTTAAGAAGCACTGGACTAGACTATAAGAGGAGACACAGCAGGCAGACAAGCTTATCTCTCTGCCACTTTGCTCTCTATCAGAATAGCTTCTCCCTCCTCAAAATGTAGGTACTTGTACTGGTTGCATTTAAAAAAAAAAATAAAAAATGCATCTGACTTGCACCTCCGGTCTTCAGTGGAGTGTCCTTGTTACAACACATATACATTATATATATATATTTTTTTTTTTTTTACACATACATACATACAGTATATATTTATATTAGGGAAGTAAAAAAAAGTGTTCGGAACATTTTTGTTTACATTACAGCAGCACTAATTCAGGCCGCATTCAACAGTGACGATTGCATTTCAAAATTCACTGGTGCTTATAATGACATCTATTTAAATTCAGATGGTTTGATGTGTACAACACCACTAATCTTCATTTCCTGGAAGCTTCCTTTCTGGAAACGCCTATCGGCAATAAAACAGCTGCTTCAGTTGAACATCCTTCAAGCACACAATGTACAGCTGTCTGTTTTCTGAAAGCTGTGCCCACCAAAGATATAAATATGGATGTTTTAAAAGTATATTTCCTCTTTTGCAGCCAAACTGGGATAACGCCTATCTTACATATTTGTTACATGAAGTCAGATAGCATAAGCTAAAAAAAAAAATATTTAAAAAATGCTTCTTGCAGGTTACACTGCTTTTAGCTAGGTTAGGGTTTTAAGGGTTAACATTTCTACTTGCTTATGTTTTTTTGCAATGTTAGGAGAGACTGAGGGGTCTGAGGTGGTTTGTCCATTGTAGGTTACGTTACTGAGAGAAACACAATCCTCAAATTTCAGTCATAAGCCTTTCCATTAGGACAAATCACTGTGAAGGTGCTGAGAAAAACCTGGAATCTGCCATCTTGCCTGCTTTAAAAAAACATCTAAAAAAAAAAAAAGGTAAGAAATATTTTTTACATATTTTTCTTTATGCTGCGTTAGTAGGATCGCATAACATAGAGGGGTTTTCTCAAATTTGACCGCAAAAGTAGAAATATACTTTAAGTTTTGTTTTAGAATGCCAGGAATCAAAGTAAAATCAATCTGTGCTCTGGTAATGCCATCCAGAAGACACTGTCACTGTGTTTAACCCTTCTGCTGACAAAGCCTTTATTTCTTTTTGCATGCATGTTAAAAACACACATTTTAGGATTAAAGATTAGTTAAAGGGTAATTCCACTTATCCAGGCGAATTTGAACTGCTGTCACCTTTAACCGAACGCCCCTTCCTTTCCGTGGTTGCTGGTGTACTAGCCGAACACTCACTGGTTAGTGCAGTCACCCGACCACACTAACCAAAAAGAAGCACTTTTTGCTAACCATGCTGACCAATAAGAAGTGCTTCTTAGCACACAAAAAAAAACTTCATTAGTCAGCGAAGACAGAAGAGCTACTCATTGGTCAGTGCCGTCAGGTGATCCTGACCAATAAGTGTGCGCCATTTGCAAGGGAAATTCGAAATACCGAGCGCAGGGCACCGCTGCCATGTACGAAGTACAGATAGATAGCCAGCAACCACGGAGAGGGAAGGCGCTTTTGGTTAAAAAAGTAAGAGCAGCAACGGAAGAGGGGGCAGATTGGTAGCGCTAATTCCAATTTCTCCAAATTCACCTGGGAAAGTAGAACCTCTTAGAACTGTATATTTTCTGAAGGCAGAGACCCTGGTAAACAAAATGGCAGACCTTGTCCCCAGTTTTGAAGAATTTCTCATTGGTCAGCGCAGTCATGCTAACCAAGGAGTGCTCGCCAATTGAGAACATTGAGTGCTCCAGATGGCAGGGCTGTCAATTGTAGTGTATGGATCACTACACCAGCTGGCAGGGTCATCTCAGTGGAGACCAGGGAAGATGCAGCGGGAACCAGGGGGCGCTGCTGTGAGCAAGTTCATATCTTCACATTTTTGAAAGGTGAACTTACCGTGTAAAGTAAACTTATACTTTAAAATCAATTTGACAATTCATAACATTCTCAAGCACTGCCCCAAGTACCTCTCTCCAACGCATTTAATCCCAGTAGTGCTCTACAATCAAGCCCCAGTAAGAGTGGGACCGAGCTGGGAATTATATTAGTGAAACTAGCCAAAAGGCAACTGAGCCTACCAAACTCTCCCTATAAATAAGATATCACTCAGTGGACAGACAGTGTAATTAGAAACAACTTTAAGGCAATTGTATTTTTTATAACAAAAAATAGGAGTATAATGGTGATCACAACCCGTAATATGGGTAATGCACAATTAATCTTTTTGTTGGGTGATGAATAAATGCATGAAGGGAACTTACATCAGTAATCATTTATAAGAGCCCAATTACCAGGATTATAGGTTGATTATGAACATTTTAAAGAAGCCAATGAAAAACTAATTGAGGAGTCTGGTTTTCTTTATAGTAGAATTATCATAGGTATGTGGCAACAAGGGTGAAGGACGAACAAAATAAATAAAGCCGAGAAGAAACTGGATTTGAATGAAGGATTTAAGAGAAAGTGTAACTTCCACCACCACATGTGGTTTTCAGAGTATAGAAATACGATGAGTGTTAAATCTTATAGCTCCTGCTTTTCCTATTATTCTTAACAGCTAGAATCTATATGAACTAAATCTCTTTTATTCAGTTGAAAAGGTCTAGCTTTGGCAAGGCGTCACTCCATTACTGCACAAATTAAGCAGCACGTTACAGTCTAGATATGGGAAAAGCTTTTTCAGATGTCTAGATACACTATTAAATGGTATGTCTAAAAAGGAGGATCCAATGGAACGGGTCATTTTAAAGTTTGACAAGCAGTTGGTCAATTAATGTGATACTTTATTTGTACTAGCATGTAATTTTTAGGTCAACCTTCAACGTCTGGGTTGATCAGTCCAAGTGTTGAGATCTACTTTCTTTATTAGGGCAAAGCAGTCAATCACTTTATACTTGAAGAAGTTGGCCAACTTCTATCCATTATGCCATTATGTGCATACTCTAGGGCAAGTCTAGAAAGTATGAAAGTGGAGGCCTTTTCTGAAAATTACATACAGGTGAAACTCGAATAATTAGAATATCGTGCAAAAGTAATTGCAGTAAGTGCTGCAAAAGGGGCCCAAACCAAGTACTGAGTACATATGCATGCTTGTACTTTTCAGAGGTCCGATATTGTTCTATGTACAATCCTTGTTTTATTGATTGCATGTAATCTACTTTTTTGAGATTGTGGATTTGTGGTTCTTGGGGTTTTCATGAGCTGTAAGCCATAATCATCACAATTATGACAAATCACAGCTTGAACTATCTTGCTTTGCATGTAATGAGTCTATCTCATATATAAGTTTCACCTTTTAAGTTGCATTAGTGAAATAAATGAACTTTGCACGATATTCTAATTATTCGAGTTTCACCTGTATATAGCATAATTTGCTGGTGTTCAGGTAAACCCCCTGAAAGCTATGGCAGGTGCCTGTTACACCACGGGAATAACATAATCCAGCAAAAATCTCTGAGATAATTTAACAGATTTAAGTACCAGAAGTTTAGAGACTGCTAGGAGTGCAGGAACGAAACATACAAATCCTCTAGGGGAAGGCATCATCATTGTCACTCCCCGATGAAGCAAATGGGGGGGGCCTGTCAGTGTATGGGCAAATGCCAGCCACATGCTGTTTGGGGAATAGCCCCCCCAAAAAACACAACTGCACCCACATCAGTAGGAAAGACTTTAAATGGTTGGGTATGGGTGGCGCAAACATATATATTTTCTATATATTGTACAGTCTTAAGAAATACAGAAGTAAATGATTAGACAGATAGCCGATTCACATAAATAAACATTTAGCCAACACCTAATCTTTCCTACCGATGTTGATGAAGATTACATGAAGGTTCCCGAGTTCTACATTGATTTATCTACAGCTACTTTACAGGTATATTGTTAGCTGTGCTCGCTCAGATGTAAATGGTTAAAAGTCACAGGAGATTTTCAAGCTCCACACAGACCTGCTTGTATAACCGTCTGGACCTCAACAGTGCTACACACAAAGGAAATAGGATATTCTAACCAAAGGTAAAATGCTGCCAAATATCATTGCTGGGCAAATCCCAGAAATGCAGTGCTAGTGCCAGCAGCATTAATACTCAACCTCATTAATTTCACATTATACTGTTAACTCCTTGAAATACTGCTAAAATGGAAGCTTTCATGGACCACAGATAGTAATTTAAACTGGCATAACTACAATGAAACAATATCTTGTATGTCCTGAGGCAGAGCTTGTGTTTAAACAGACTCCCGGCGGCAAAAGTCGCCGGGAGTCTGTTTAAACAGCCCCGATGCTGGCGACGTACACTGTACGTCGTCAGTCACGAAGGGGTTAAACCACCTTTGACTGCAAGATGGATAAAGTTTTGTTACAGACTGTCTTGGGCATGTGACTATAGGTTTATTGCATATATGGATTTGTGACAAATATCTGTATACCTCAAGACAAAAAAAAAACAACAAAAAAACTTTCTTGCTGCCTTCTCAAATGCAATTATAACAGAATACAGGTGAAACGCGATTAGAATATCGTGCAAAAGTTCATTTATTTCACTAATGCAACTTAAAAGGTGAAACTAATATAGGAGATAGACTCATTACATGCAAAGCAAGATAGTTCAAGCCGTGATTTGTCATAATTGTGATGATTATGGCTTACAGCTCATGAAAACCCCAAATCCACAATCTCAGAAAATTAGATTACATGCAATCAAAAAAACAAGGATTGTACATAGAACAATATCGAACCTCTGAAAAGTATAAGCATGCATATGTACTCAGTACTTGGTTTGGGCCCCTTTTGCAGCAATTACTGCCTCAATGCGGCGTGGCATGGAAGCTATCAGCCTGTGGCACTGCTGAGTTACGGAAGACCAGGATGCTTCAATAGTGGCCTTCAGCTCTTCTGCATTGTTCGGTCTCATGTCTCTCATCTTTCTCTTGGCAATGCCCCATAGATTCTCTATGGGGTTCAGGTCAGGCGAGTTTGCTGGCCAATCAAGCACAGTAATCCCACGGTCATTGAACCAGGTTTTGGTGCTTTTGGCAGTGTGGGCAGGTGCCAAGTCCTGCTGGAAAATGAAGTCAGCATCCCCATAGAGCTCATCTGCGAAAGGAATCATGAAGTGCTCCAAAATCTCGTGGTAGACAGCTGCGTTGACCCTGGACTTAATGAAGCACAGTGGTCCAAAGTCCTCTTTTCTGATGAGCAAATTTTGCATCTCATTTGGAAACCAAGGACCCAGAGTATGGAGGAAGAATGGAGAGGCACACACTGCAAGATGCTTGAAGTCCAGTGTGAAGTTTCCACAGTCTGTGTTGATTTGGGGAGCCATGTCATCTGCTGGTGTTGGTCCACTGTGCTTCATTAAGTCCAGGGTCAACGCAGCCGTCTACCAGGAGATTTTGGAGCACTTCATGCTTCCTTCCGCAGACGAGCTCTATGGGGATGCTGACTTCATTTTCCAGCAGGACTTGGCACCTGCCCACACTGCCAAAAGCACCAAAACCTGGTTCAATGACCGTGGGATTACTGTGCTTGATTGGCCAGCAAACTCGCCTGACCTGAACCCCATAGAAAATATATGGGGCATTGTCAAGAGGAAGATGAGAGACATGAGACCGAACAATGCAGAAGAGCTGAAGGCCGCTATTGAAGCATCCTGGTCTTCCGTAACTCAGCAGTGCCACAGGCTGATAGCTTCCATGCCACGCCGCATTGAGGCAGTAATTGCTGCAAAAGGGGCCCAAACCAAGTACTGAGTACATATGCATGCTTATACCTTTCAGAGGTCCGATATTGTTCCATGTACAATCCTTGTTTTTTTGATTGCATGTAATATTCTAATTTTCTGAGATTGTGGATTTGGGGTTTTCATGAGCTGTAAGCCATAATCAATCACAATTATGACAAATCACAGCTTGAACTTTCTTGCTTTGCATGTCATGAGTCCATCTCATATATTAGTTTCACCTTTTAAGTTGCAATAGTGAAATAAATGAACTTTTGCACGATATTCTAATTATTCGAGTTTCACCTGTATAGGCTTAATAAAGTTTTAACATGAGAATAAGGATCCTTATTTTAGCCATGTGGCTGGGATGTTCAAACCTCATTGGGATCAGCTGAAAATAGCCATCACTTCTGACAATAAAAAAATCTTATCCTGGCATGTTAGCTAGCAGTAGATAGATGCAAAAACATGCAAGGCTTTAATTATCCTTTAAAGCCCTGTTCATACCATTGCACTGGGGTAATGTGTACAGTAAAGTGCGTTGGTGCAATACATTGCCATCCATACTGAATGGCACTCAAAGCCCCCGACCAACGGTTGTGCATTGAAGTGCAACACAACAGACTTATGTGCCTTGAAGTGCGCTACGTTGTAAAATATTGGAAAATAGTTGGAAAAAAATAGTACATGCACCTGTTTTAGTGTGCTTTGATGTGTTCCACAGCCCATTTAAATGAACGGTCTGCATAATGCAATGCATTCTAATACATGTGAACAGGTTCTAAAACAACATTTTAAAAGAAGAAGCCTGTTAAAGTGACACTGCCACTTTGCCCATACAGGGTGACATTACCCACCCAGGTAAGCGCCAACACCGTTTGACACCACAGCTTTCCCAGGATGGGCTCCTGCAGCGAGGAGCATGGATCACCGAGTATACATTGCTGGAGTGGTGGGTTGTAAGATGACACAACTCTGCCCTGAATGGACAAAAGCAACATAAGTCAAAATTCTCCTTTTTTACTTTTGGTTAAGTTGAAAAAAGAACCTCTGTCAGGTTTCTAATGTCACTGATGTCCACAATGGGTGGTTGTCACCTCTCTACCCACACTGATAACACTGTGTGACAGGATGTCACTGGTACAGAAAGTGAATTCAAATCTCCCAAAAGCAGCAATGTATTTCTATATGTGGCAACAGCTCCCCCATTAGGCAATGAAAGAAAACATGCACTCGCAGATTTTTTATTCACTACATCGAGTAGTGATCACATAAGGGATAATTTTATTTAGACTATACAAGTCCCCACACATACCTCTACGAGTGTTAATTGGGCCTGCTCTCATTGCCAACACCAACTTCAATGTACAGCCTTCAGAGATCCTTGAGAGAAGGAGAAAACCACAGTTCATGTTTGATCCAACAGCTTTCACCAATAATGGCCAAGACACTTTTGTTTCAGTATACTTACATATAATCATTCAGGCAAACATCATCCTTGAGATCAATATTATTCCATATTAAGTGTTGCTGAGTGATTGGAATACCTGTAAATAAATCAATTAGTAACAACTTAAAAAACTATTGAATTACAAACACTTAAGATATTTGGGACTTTTATATCAAAAAAAGGTACAAAGTGCCATCGTCTTCAGGGACCAGAGCTCTTTTGGCAGCACCTAGTGAGCAGACCAGTTTAGAACTATCCAGATGTTAGCGAGCAACATTGGTGCACTATGATTTTTAATAGAAGAATGTATTTAAGCCTTGGTTCTCAACTGGTGGGTCGCGGCCCCGTTTTCAGTGGGTCGCCGCATGCCCTTCACTTTTCTATGTGAGAGGCTCCTCAGCCTCTCACATAGAAAAGTATACACCTAGCATAGCAATATCAGTTCTTGCACTGAGCAGCCATTCAGAATATGCTGCCTGGCGCCAAGTGTCAGCTTGAGGTGGGTTGGGCTGGAGCAATGGCTGCGAGGGAGCTTCATCCATACATGAATTGCTTACAGCTCCCTCACGTGACCTGTAGAGGTGCCTGGATCGGAGTGACGTCACATTCTGGCTCCTAGCACCTCTACAGGGCGCAAAGGAGTTGTACAAGTAATGTATGTATGGATGGAGCTCTGTCACAGCACAGGACTGGACCACAAGCTGAGGATCGCACACACCGGAACCCATGGTACCGCAATGCCGTGCATTCCATTGCAATGCGACTTGGGATTGCGATTTGTCCAAGGACAAATGTGGGTCCTGAGGTTACATAGGTTGAGAACCACTGTATTTAAGTATGAAGGCTGCCACTGTTGACCTCTCCTTCTAAATGTTCATTGCAATTGGAAATTATCAAATACCTTAAAAATGTTCAAAGTCTCTGACTGGGAGCAAGTGCCCAAATTAAACGTCCTGATCTGTGTGATTGTTCTAGGTCAGTATTAAAGCCAGAGACAGCCAGAAACTAACATTTTTAGATAGTCAGCACTGGCAGCCTCCATATTTCTCAAAACACAGCTTTTTATTAAAATGAGCCATGTGTGCTCATTAGAGTGAAATTATCTCTACAGGCAACTTACGGTCACATGATAATCCTAAAGCATACCTATAGGAGGCGTAGATGGAGTGGTTGGTCATGTTCTACTCTGCTAAGAATGTAGCAGCACTTTTTTGATTGATGTCCATTCCCTATTCTGTTATCTGCTGTCCGAGCCTCTAATAAAACTAAACCGGGGTTTACAAAAGAATTAGTATGTTTTTAAAAAATAACCAAATCCAAAACTTTTTTTTTGCATTTTGCCCAAAGTAAAAGGAGGATTATAACTCCCCGTGTCCCAGCAGGGAGATTTCCCTTCTTTTCCTGTCCCACAGCCTCAACAGGGAGTGAGAGGTAATCTCTCCAAAGTGAGGGAAATCCCCTCTTAGACAACTGTCATCAAAACTCCCCATTGGCAGCAGGGGCGTCCCGAGGCCGGGTGTCACCACGCAGTGACGTTATCGCGCATGCGCGGGACGGACATCATTGCGCACGCGTGGTCATCTAATTGATGCCTGCTGGTGGCCATCTTGGTGATGGACGCCGGCAGAGAGAGGAGACGTTCATCCGGAGGGATGAGGTATGCCACCGGGTCCCCCTCCTCTCTCCTGACACAGTCAGGCTCTCAGTCCAATGGTGTCACCCCCCTTGTGACGCCACTGATTGGAAGATTTTCATTCTATTCCTTTTCCTGTGGCAACTCAAAATTTGGGATTTTCTACCTGTTGGCATCAGTGGCCACCAGGATAAAGGGCTTTTTCACATCAGCAGCCGCTCTCAACAGCATGGCTGCTGGTGTGTGTGTGCGCGTGCCTGCCACAGTGCTGAGGCGCTCGATCGAGACGGACTGCACTGGTTTTTTTTTCTACAAGTGACATTTCATTACCTTCTATGGGCACAATGGTTGTGCTGCGTCTCACTGCTGTGCGCTTAAAAAAAAAAAAAAAAAAAAAAGAAGTACTGCATGCCGCACTCTTTAAGCACACACCACCGCAACACAGTGGTGTGAACTGAGCCCACCTGTGACAAGGCAAATTGCCTTGTTTGTGTTCGTGCTGTACTGGAAAAAACAACAAGCGCAGACTGAACACATCAGATGTGAACGGGCCCAAAAAGAAAAAAGGGAAT